CACCTGATGAATTTCTTCATTATTATCACAATCTACTTGTATCCAATAATGTAAAAGCCACGGTACCTGAATCGTCCATTGAAGATAGTGACACACATATTGAATATTATGACCTGTATGTAGACAGCTAAAATAAGCTAAGACGCTTATTTCTTTTTTCTTACCATTCGATGGCTTAATTTATACTTTGTGAAGACTAATTTATGTTTTGCATACCTTTTTTTCATTGGAGTTATTGTTTATTAAATAGTTTGCAGCTTTTACTTATTTTTTATTCAATTTTAATGTTTTGAACAGTTTTCTCGAAACTTCAAAAATGTGAGTTATCTTGGTTTTGCAGTAACCGGACGCGATATATTTGTTTTGTGTTTTATTTATTAAAGATCCACACTAACTAATTTTAAATGAATATTGAATAGCATAAAAAAGGGTCATTAATCAAAATTATTGCAGCCCGTGTAACAGCAAAAATACGAATGTGGTCCAAAGGAAAAAAGGTTGAGTATGGCTGGTTTAGCTGGTTGGTGTAATAAAAACAAACTGTACTTAAATCTGAATAAATGTTGCTATATAAGTTTTTCCCATAAACCTGATAGGATTGCAATGAGTTTACAGATGTATCATACTTCTTGGTACTTTCCCTATTTAAATTGTGCTGGTGAGAGTGACGGAGGGGAGAGGAATGACATGTGACTATTGAGGAAATTATAAAAAGGTGCTTCCCTTGAAATTAAAATCGCTTTTTTTGCGATCTACTTTTAAGATAATCTTAGATACGACCGGTCTCTTTATCTGTTCTGATTTGTTAGCAATTTTTGTTAAAGGGGCATAGCAGCCAATTTTTCCTACATTTTATAGTAAAATATTCATAATGAAAATTTATGGCTAATATATCGGCCATGCGTATGGCATCGGCTACAAAAAATCATATCAGTCTATCCCTAGTTTTAGCCATGGTTTATTTTCAGAATTTGTTTAATTTTCAAAAAGTCAGTAGTTAAGTGATGCTGAAAAAAAATACATTATCTGTATAGATATCTTCTTGATTTGATCTCATACGGGATTATTAATCTTATCGTTCACAGAATATTATCTTTCCGTGTACTCGTATTTATTTGTCATTGGGTTTTTGTATTTTTTTACGCTTTTGGTACTTAAATAATAAACGTTTTTTTAAACGGATGTGGTTTCATTTCCAATAATTTCATTATATCCTTATAATCTAAGATCCGAAGTAAAGTCGACCTTCACCCATCTATTTAACGGATGAAAGTTTTTTGTCATTAAATAAAATATGCTTATAAATATACCGCAAATGAGTTGCCTAAGAAAATACGGTCAAGACTAATTATTTTCTTAAAGTAAAACGGCACCTTGTAAAGTATTCCCCAAATGCTTCGACTATGCCCAAAATTTAATCAGCTCACCGCAAGATGGATTAAAGCTTAAGTTTAAAATTTGTTGTTTTCCTTTTTATCCGTTTTTGGGTTATCTTCAAAATTCGAAATTTTCTTATCTGTATATAGAAAGGAAAGTAAAAAAAAGGCCGTAACCGTATTTTCTTAGGCAACCCATTTGCAGTTTATTCATTAACATTTTATTTAATAAAATTAAACTAAAGCCCATTTCTCGTATGAAACGATAATAGAAGAGCATTTATTACACCAAGATGCGAAAAAACTGCAGGTCAAAAATGTTCTTATCTAGCGCTTAGAATATTTTCAAAAATACTAGATTCAATAGGAGTATAAAACCATACAAACACTTTGAAGATAAAATGGAAAAATGGATAAGAAAAAGTGACAACAATGTCATAAATTTGTAAATTCAAATATGTAGACCAATAGACCTAAATAATTAATTTTGACCAAATTTGAACACCCATGCCCTTTCAACATTTTGACATTTTACCAGATATTGGGGTCTATTCTGTAACAATTCCTTTATATTTAACGGCCTTTAAAAATATTGGCGGCCTTTAAGATATTTTCGTATTCGTTAATTTACTTCTGTCATTACTTAAACAGATTTCTTTAAGATAGTTATTTAATGTATTTTAAAGATCCGTTTAAATAATGACAGAAGTAAAGAAGAAAATATTTTTAAAGGCCGTTAAATATAAAGGAATTGTTACAGAATAGACCCCATTGGGGTCTATTCTGTAAAAATTCCTTTATATTTAACGGCCTTTAAAAATATTTTCTTCTTTAATTCGGTCACTATTTAAACGGATCTTTAAAATACATTAGAGGACTATCTTAAAGAAATCTGTTTAAATAATGATAGAAGTAAATTTTAACGAATACAAATATACTTTTAAAGGCCGCCAATATTTTTAAAGGCCGTTAAATATAAAGGAATTGTTACAGAATAGACCCCTTTAACAGTTACACCCTCCATATGTTACAGTTACACCCTCCATATGTTACAGTTACACCCTCCATATGTTACAGTTACAGAGATGACGTGGTTGTTTTTAGAAAAAACATTAAAACCGAGGTGCTTGTTGCTAACAGATCACCTTGATTTTTGTAAAAAAACGAGGAGTATAATATTTTTGATTGGGATATAAAAGTAGTCTAAAAATATTCCATAAGTTTCAACTAGGAATTCCATAGGTGCTCTGCTGCCTTCTTTGGCGTAAAACCTATTATTAACTAAGTAAAAAAAAATTAATTATAAAAAGTAGCCGTAAAGTAAATGCGACCAAAAAATCTAGCAGAACAATTTTTTTCTGTTTTGATCTTGTCACATAAAGGTTATATTATTGATTATGATAATTTTGAAAGATTTAGTTCCTTCGGTAAATATTCTGTAGGTTGAAGATATATAAATTTTCTGTTGCAATATTTTTATTTGGTATTGCTTATTCTTACTAATCTTACGTTGTTATATTTTAAATTTATCTTGGCGATAGAGGCATGAACACATTGTTTGAATTTTTTTTAACTATAATACCTAACATCAGTCTCTTATGAGTAATTCCCACAACCATATATCGCACATACAGGAAATAAAGCAGAAATTGTAATTAAAAAAGATAATCAAATTAGTAGAAGCAGTGAAGCAAAAAAGTTCTGAATTTTTTAGATTAAGACGGATCGGAATGCGGGTTTTTGCATTCGCTTCCAAACATTTTTTGGAAAAAATGTCCCTACTTTTTATCTTATACAAACCGGAAATTGCATTGCTGCAGTCAAAAATGTATTTTTTGAGACGGCTCTTGGAAGATTAAAGAACTTTATAAATAAGAGTCAGAACTGGCCCACATCTGGTTCCCTGGGGTTTCTAGGTCGCTGATCACGATTATGATCAAATTGACCCACAGCCGACTAGGGTAGTTATTCTTGAATTCCATGGAATAGAAAACCGGTTTTTCCTCTTTATCTGCAGCGCACAAAATGTGTATTTTTGTCTCACTCTTCCCTCAAAATTTCTACTCCCTGAGATTCAAGAATAGATACCCTGGAGCTCAGGAAGGCCGATGAACCTCATCTCCGTGGGACTTTCCCGAAATTCACGCGGGGAAGGAGAAATACTCGGCGCCCGGTGGTTTTTTGGGTCGCTGAATTCAAATATGGCATCGGCGAACACCCCCGGACACCTGGTGTGCCGGAATCTGGACGGTGGAAGTCATCCCCGAAAATTGTCCTGACAAGATCGCCAAAAACAACCCGAAAATCATTGTGGGGGGCCTTTTTTGGGCGCTTATTCCAAATTTCACGTCGAAAACGATCCCCGAATATCTAGTGCAGGGTTTTCCTCACATAATCGAAAAAGGCGAACCCAAAATCGTTATGGGTGGTTTTTAGGGGCGCTGAATCCGAATTTCACGTCGAAAAAAACCGTCCCAACACCTGGTGCACCAAAACCTCGGCATGTACGTCGTCTCCGAGGGTTTTCCAGACACGCTCACAAAAGACTAACCGAAAATCGTCTCATAATTTCACACATTCATTGATGTGTGACTCTCGCCTGGGGGCCCTCTAAAAGTCATGTAAAATTCTAAATGCCGGGTTTGAATAGAGCGAGGAGAATTACGAGAATAATCTTTGGCTAATCTCCGAACTTTGCGGAACGGCCTTTCACTTTTCTCCCAAAGCTCGAAACGCTTTTGTGTAAGTATAGACAGAAACTTTCTTGTCAGGAAAATTCTCGGGGATGTCGTCCACCTCCAGGTTCGGGCGCACCAGGTGTCGGAAAGGTGTTCGACGATGCCACATTTGAATTCAGCTACCCAAAAAACAAACCCCTGTACACCGTCCCACGAAGATGACGTTCAGGGCCAGGTTCCGATGCACCAGATGTTGGGGGAGGGTCGTTTTCGACGGGAAATTCGGATTCGTCTTTTTCGATTGTATGAGGAAAACCCACGGAGATGAGGTCCGCGTCCAGGTTCCGGTGCACCAGGTGTTCAGGGGAACGTTTTCTACGTGAAATTCGGATTAACCCCCCAAAAAACGCCTTTACAATGATTTTCGGGTTGTTTTTGGCGATCTTGTCAGGAAAATTCTCTGGGATGACGTCCACGTCCGGGTTCCGGCACACCAGGTGTCCGGGAGGTGTTCGCCGATGCCATATTTGAATTCAGCGACCCAAATAACCCCCAGGCGCCGAGTTTCTGTCCTTCCCCGCATGAAATTCTGGAAAGTCGGATAGTCCAATTGACAAACTCTGTGGTTAAATGGCAAATCCGGATATGTCATATCTGGTTTTGAACATGCACAGTATACTCGTACAGAAAATGTATTCGTATATCCATTTGCTAACGAAAGTGCATCAAATTCATGTTATGTATATGTTAAAATGGCAAAAAAATTGGCATACATAATTTTTTCATCTATCCACAAAATTTTAAATTGACATATTGCTTCCAATCTGTGGGCAACTAGTTGCTGTCAGTTTTGATCATCGTATGGTCTCTTTGATTCGTGGCACGCCTTGTCATATCCTAGTGTCTTTATTTTTCAATGTTTAAAAACGATGTTTTTTGTTTTCAGAAATGGTGGAGGCGATGAAGAAGGTAGCCAAACTGGACCTAGAACTGACCGTCGAAGAGAGGAACCTTCTTTCAGTAGCATACAAGAATGTGATCGGTGCTAGACGAGCATCGTGGCGCATAATATCGTCCATCGAACAAAAAGAAGAGACTAAAGGCACCGACGACAAACTGGAAATGATACGCCAGTACCGCTCCCAAGTAGAGAAAGAATTAAGGGATATTTGCTCAGACATCCTTAGCGTGTTAGATAAACATCTGATACCTGCCGCATCCTCGGGTGAATCCAAGGTTTTCTATTACAAAATGAAGGTAAGGAGAACGTCTACATTTTAGTTTTATTAACTTTAAAATAAATAAAATCAAGAAATTATCAATGCCTCTGAAACACACGTATTCTTTTGGCTAATACCGCAACAGGCATTGATTTATATCAAAATAAAAACAGCAGAGATGGAACTTTGATTTCGCTTATTATTAAACGTTATCAGCACCTCAGAGGTAAGGTGTGTTAAGTCGCCAAATCTACATTTGCCAGGAGAGGCATTTTAAAGTACACTTCTTGTTTTAACCAATGTAAAGAAATCGTGAATTTACTAAATATTGGGGTCTTTGCAAAAGTCAATTGTTTGGTCAGTTTATTTCATTTTTTGTTAATTTTTTACTTTTTCCTAAACTTTTGACTTTGATGGAACATTAACCCGAAATTTGCAATACTTGGTTTGTGACTTACCGAGTGTTTCGTCATCTCTTGACGAAATGATGCAATTAGGGGGTTAAATCTGTTTTCCACTAGATAGAAATTAGTACGGTAAATCCAAAAGTGGAGAAAACTCTTCTCTGAAAAATTGACTTAACACACACCTTACCTCTGAGGTGCTGATGTACAATGTGATCTTTTACCGAAATATAGAACAAACATTCTTTGTACAATCAATTCCTTGCTGGAAAGGGATAGGGGCGTAAGTCGAAAAATGTCCTTTCAAACGTATAATTTTGTAAAAATATCAACTTCTTTTTTCAAAATGTAACTTCTCAAAAAACTACCTATTGTAGTTAATATTTGCAATATTTGATAGCAAACGAGATACGCAATGAATGTACTATACACCAAAAGTTTAATTGCTTCTCTTGTAAAATAGCTAAATTGAAATTACGCCTCTGTCTTTCCAGTGACGAATTTTGAAAGTATTTTACTGAAAATCTTAAAAATTTTGCTGAGAATTAAACCTATTTAGAATTAGACTACTTACAATTTACAATGGTTGTTAATGAATCGTTCCGTTCATTTAATCTGAATTATTATTAAACTAAAAAATGCTGAACCTGGTAGGTATTTCTACTTAGGAATATTAAATTGTGCTATTCCCGTCTAAATTCTATTCGAGAGATACTCATTTTGAAGAGCTTAAAACTTCCTATTCAACTATGTAAAAAGGAATTAACATTTTATCCAGTAGTTTCCGAGAAATTTAATAAACTTTGAAAGGCGACGTATTGAATTGAACACTGCATGTATTTCGAATTTATATATACCTCTGTATATGTCTTGTATTGGAATTTTTCACTCAGTTGGAGTTCTTTAACTTGTTTAAAAAGCATGGTTTCTGCAATCTGCTTTTCTCAAATACTAAAATGTATGTCTAAAATAAATTTTTGCCCTGATTTAAAAGTTTCCCCGATATAAATTATCAAGAAAATAGTATTTGTTTACGTTTGCATTCGAAAATTCTGTTTACGACCCACTTTGTTGTATTGAATAGCCAATTTCATTGTTTACTTATCTAGGTTATATTCGAAAAATCGAATGGGTTTATGCACGCTCCGAAAAACTATGAATACGAAGGAAATCATGGAGAATAATTTGGATTGTATTAAAACATAATCGATACCTCATGAAACATGAGCTTCATAATTTCGTGTCACCGCTTGGTCTTAATTTATTTTTCTTTATTAAGACGATACCTTATGAAACATGAGATTCATAACTTCGGGCCAAATTGCTTCATCCCTTGGTCTTAATTTTTTTTATTATTATTAAAGAATCAAAATATGTCGAAATGCTGTGTATTTTGAGATACTAAGCTACAAATATTTTTCTTTGTTAGAAAATGTTTTAACTAGAGGTAATTTAAACAGAACACCTATTTTTTATATAATACAAAATAAAATTAAGTACTGTTAATGCCCATACACTTCTGCTTTAAATAAAAACATATAATAGAGAAAATATAATACAAGTGCGTGAAATAATGTTTTTCCGTACTAAAAATTACAACTTATGCTTAAAACATGTTCATGCATGTGTATCGTACAAAATTTTATCTATCTTTAAAATTTGCAATTCACAGATGAAAAAATGTATATACGATCTTTTCTTTATTTCTTTCAAAAATAATGTAGTTACAATCAGGGTGTTAAAAATGTAAGCATTAAAATGTACAACCTAGTCCACCCCTGGTAATTATGTTTTAAGGGCAGTATTTTAAGAGGTTCTTACTACTGTTTATCATATTAAATTTTCATTAATTTATATTACGTAGTTTGAAATTTAATCAAGAAAAATTGATATCCAGTGGCGTTCGTTTTGAAGGCCGTATCTCCGTAGAGAGTGCCGCCAGGAAAAAATTTTATGAGAACTTATCTTATTTTTTTAATGTTCTATCTGAATCCGAGAGATCTCCCACATTTTCCCGGACACTCTTTATATATTTACTCTATATCTATATTCACCCTTTCATAAAACATCGAAAATAATCGTTAACGGCCCAGAAAAAATATCCAACAAAAGGGGCGTGGGAAAGAGGTCGGCCTACTCTTCGAATTTTTCTTATTTTTTAATTATCAATAAAACCAATATCTCAAAATACCCGAATTATAAAAAAAGGGTTCACCTCCCACTACTACAATTAGTACTTTTTCCCCTTCACGGAGGTAGGGGGCGGGAGGGGATGAAATTGGTTTCGTCTCAGTCTAATCTATCGTACTCGAGTTAATTTTCCTACAGTGCTCCGCAACCGGTGTGCCGCGGCACACTGGTGTGCCGTAAGCCGACTTGAGGTGTGCCGCTCTTGCAGACAATACGAATCAGATTCGTATTGTAGCGAGACCCGCGAAAAATAAAGCAATCTGACAACAGCGCCGATGGTAAACGTCTATCCGTCTATCGGCGCGGCGGCTTGATTCTCGAAGGCGACTAAACTAGAAAGATCCGTGCCGTTCGAGGCGCGACTCGATGTTTTCCTGAACATCGCCACTGCCTATATAAGCGCGCCTGTCGTCGCTCAGAGACTCAGAGAGAGTCGAATAGTCAAGTGAATCAGATAAATACGCGGGCAAACAAATAAATCGTAGAGTGAAATAAATAGTGAATTGCTATATAAATAAATTCTTGTGCCTTATAAATAAGTGAACTGGACTAAGTTTTGTTGCAGTATCTACTTTTATAAATAACTATAGTGCTTCAAATATGGATAAATTTTTGCTGAAATCACGAGCAGATGACGAAGAACCTAGCACAAGCTCCAGCATAAGTGCTGCAAAAAGAGCAAAAAAGGTGCTGAAAAGGAAGTACAATCGATATGGTTTCACTTGGTGTGGCGACGAAGCGGCTCCAAAGCCTGAATGCGTCATTTGCGGTGAACAGTTGTCAAATGAAGCAATGGTACCCAGCAAACTAAACCGTCATTTGATCACAAATCATCCCAGTTGCGTCAAAAAAGACATTCAATTTTTCCAACGGCGCTTGGATCAAAATAAGAAACAAAAGCAGTTTATGAAATCGGCGGTTACGGTTTCTGAAAAGGCATTAGAAGCAAGCTACCTTGTTGCAAAATTAATTGCACAACAAAAAAAACCGCACACTATCGGTGAAACGCTTATTAAACCAGCATGCAAGGAAATTGTTAGACTTATGCTTGGGCCAAACGAAGTTAAGGACGTGAGTAAAGTTTCTTTGTCGGTCGATACTGTTAAAAGACGTATCCAAGATATGTCAAGTGATATTTTGGGAACACTAATTAAAAAAATCATTTCGGCTGGAATTTTTGCGCTTCAAATCGACGAATCAACCGATATTAAAAATAAAGCACAACTGATGGCTATTGTACGTTTCGTTGACGAGGACTCTATTAAAGAACATTATTTATTTTGTAAGGAGGTTCCAGAGAGAACTACCGGTGAACAAATTTTCCAAGTAACTGATAATTTTTTTAAAATACATAATATTCAGTGGACCAATTGCGTTGCTATTTGTACAGATGGTGCTGCTGCAATGATGGGCAGTAAGAAAGGTTTTGTATCTTGTGTAAAACAAAAAAATCCGTCAATACAAATTACACATTGCTGCATACATCGAGAAGCATTGATGGTCAAAAATTTGCCCGAACAGCTTTCGATCACAATGAATGAATGTATTAAGATCATAAACATAATTAAATCGAGAGCCTTAAATTCGCGAATCTTTGGAATACTCTGTGAAGAAATGGGAAGCGAACATGAATCCTTACTGTTTTATACAGAAGTTCGTTGGTTATCCCGGGGAAAAGTTTTAGCTCGACTGTTTGAACTTCGCTACGAAGTGCGTGAGTTTCTTTCAAGTCAAGATATGTACGATCTATGCCAGCACCTTCATGATGAATACTGGATAGCCAAACTTGCATACATGGCGGATATATTCGAACATCTGAATGAACTTAATAAAAAAATGCAAGGACGGAATGAAAATATATTGACGTGCTCCGATAAATTACAAGGGTTCAAAAAGAAACTTGAACTTTGGCAGGAACAGTTGAAAAAAGGATGTCTAGAAATGTATCACAGGACCAACCACAGTACGATCGAAAACAAGCAGTTGATTGTGGATTTGGCCCAACAACATTTAAGTATGCTTCAACAAAAATTTGAATACTATTTCCATTCTATCAACACGGAACAATACAATTGGATTCGAAATCCTTTCGCAACCAATGCAATAAGTTCCACGGAAGCACTGCCATTGCAAACTCGAGAGGAGTTCACAGAATTAAGTAATGATATGACCCTAAAACTTAAATTCGACGAAGTTCCGTTAGATGTTTTCTGGATTTCCATCAAGACAGAATATCCACGCATCACCGACAAGGCCATCTTCACACTACTTCCGTTTTCCACAACATATTTATGTGAGCAAAGTTTTTCAACGCTTGTATTAATTAAAAATGATAAACGGTCATGCTTAAAAGATCTTGACCAAGAAATGAGAGTTGCGCTGTCTAAAATTGAGCCGAATATAAAACTTTTGTGTTCAACGAAGCAAGCGCAGGTATCACATT